AAAAATCAATACAAAAAATGTCCGTGCCCACGGCTACGACAACACCCCCCAAAAAACCTGCACACGTACAGACAAAAATGAGCAAACCAACAAAAAATGGCAGGAGCACCGTGACACTTACCGATATGGCAATACTGGATGCCAAAAGAAAGAACCCAAGAATGCGGGCATACCAACGAAACCACTCGAACCCTGCGCTCACCCCCCGTACCCCCTTCGCTACAACAGCAACCATGGCTCGCCAATTACCCATGACCCCTCACCCTTCGTGCAACACACACTCCTCACCCACCATGCCACCCACCCTCCACCCCTATCCACCACCCTGCGGCCTTAAACATCTCATGCCCAGAACTTCCATCAATATCCCACACCAATCCCCACCCGTCCTCCCACCCACCCACAACCCCTCCCCCCATACACCTCACATAACCCACCAACTTACCCCGTCCAACCACTACTTAACCACGCTTCTGACCAATGGGTTCCTCCAAGTCCTCGGTTACTGCGAGGCTGATCCCACTGTTGGCCAGTCTGCGTGCTCTCTCGCGACCTCCCTCTTCCTCTTCCATTACCACCTTCGCTGCGCTACGGTACGGGAATACCTCCCGCCATAGCTGACTGCAGCAGGTCTTCTTCTTAATCTGCCGCACCCCACCTCCTCCCAAGGGAGCAGGCTAGTGCAGTTGGTGAGAGGACGATCGACAGATAACGCAGCATACTTCTACTTGTGCTGATACTGTGATTGCCTACGAGTTGTGGGTTCCTCCGCGGCAACAAGGCCGATGGCAGCTACGGGCGAACTCATCCCTGATGCTGACATCAATGAGCACGTGGTGAGTGAAGTTACAATGCTACACCCCCACCCTCATGCTCACACAGGCCCCCCCTCTCTCGCCCCCTCGTTGGGAGCCAGAGGACAACCACCCTCTGATGAGCAGTGACGGGCGCAAGCGGCGAAAAGTGCTTTAGGGGATGCGCCACCCCTCCTCTGCTGGTTACTACACCAGAATCTGATGGCCTCGCCATCAGTGCTCCCCATCTTCTCCCCTCTCTCCTACCTCTCCCTCCCGCCCATGTGGATGCCTGATGCTAGCTGCTTGTAGGATGTGCTGGTATCGACGGCGGTCAGTGTAGTACATGAAGTGGACGCAGGAGATGACACACAGGTGAGTGGAGCTTTGCAGAGATTCCCGTGTTTTCGGGTTGCTATGGGTTATTATATGAATTTACACACACACACACACACACACACACACACACACACACACACACGCAGACGGGGGC